TATATATTAACTTGATAGCATTTCTAGGGAATATACAACTGCAGGGGAGGGAATGGGATCTGGAGCTTGAGGGAGACAAACTTTTGACCACATGCCTTCCTATAATGGTTTCTTTTTGTAAGAATACCACATTTTCAGGTTAAAAAAATAAAAACAAGTATTTAAATTTTTTCCTTAAAAAAAAAATTTTAAAGACCTTTTCCACCCTAAATCAGTTTCCTAAATTCTAGCACATTACTGCTTAAATATCAACAAACTATGTATCTATCACAAAGAAAATTAACTTCCAATTACTATTTGTTTTTGAAACATGTTGAAATAAGCTTAATTGTTTCTTTGGTTTAAAACAGATTTTTTTTCTCCATCTAAAGACCTGGCAGCAGGAGGCGGCGGGTCCTCCTGTCTTTATCCCCCAGCCCCGCACCAGCAGAGCCACATGGTACTTACAGGCAGACTCATCCACACACTCCCGGCTCCGCCTGTTCCTCTCCACGATCCAGTCCCACAGGGAGAGCTCACACAGCTGCATCTGGATGTGCAGCATCAGGTGGTATTGCATCTAGGGGGCGACACAACACTGGTCCCATCTCGGTACCACTTACATGATCCGTTTAGCCAACAAATACTCACTTGCCTACTCTAGGTCAAGCACTGGCCTGAGTGATGAGGGTAAAGGTGACACTTAGGCCTGCCCACAAAGCCCAAAGTCTAGTGAAGGAGATGGAGAAGGAAAGCAATACTTAAAACTGTGTGTCATGTTCCCAGTGGGCAGGGGTAGACCTGCTGGAGTTAGGCAGTGTCAAAAGGGAGAAGCTCTCAAATGTGACTCTGAGGCATTGAAACTGTTTGGTCTGCTCTCTACATAAAGTTTTGAAAGCTAAAATCCTATGTAATAAAAGGCTAATATGCAAATTGTCCCCTCGGGAGGTCAACCGACCAGGGGTTCGACCACTTGCTCTGATGTGCACTGACCACTAGGGGGTGGCGCGGAATGAAGGAAGGCCCCAGCCGGCAGCTGGCAGCAGGGGGAAGGAAAGCTCCGGCTGGCGGCCCTTATCGCCGGCCAGGCCTAGGGACCCTACCTGTGCACGAATTTTGTGCACTGGGCCCCCTCTAGTCAAGTATAAAAGGACAGCTATATGCTATCTGCTCCTCTGTGTATACCCCACAGCATACAGACAGTTTGGTTGGCTTCACATTGTACATAAGAAATCACATGCACACGGCCACGTGTTCCTGGACAATAAGAGTTAATTCTGCGTGTGTATACACAGCTTTGTAATCTAATATGACCAGTTATGTGCAGACCCTGTTAATCTTCAAGTTTCTTAACACTAATACTTGACACTGGAGCAAGTACGTTGGAGTCTCACCAGCGCATCAGTGTAGCCCTCAACAAGAGTTGCCTGAAACATGTCCTGGTAATCCTACTCGAACCCTTTGAAAGCCATGCTCCAAATATAGAAAATCTTTTTGCATAAACATATATTTATAACCCACG